CCTTTATGCAGGCAAAGTTTCAGGTCAAAATTCGAAAGTATAGCTTTGCTGCCAATGTAGGCGTACTATAGAGAAAATTCACTAAGAGCTCGATATCTCCTCAGAAACAAGCCAGAAACCCCGAACTTTTTTTACCGTAAGCATAACTCACTACGGGCTACAAGATGCACGAAACCCCTATTGAAAAGCGCTCCCGCACCTTGGAAGGTTCCCTAGTTAGTGAAAAGGTTCATGGAAAAAATGGTACAGATCAGATATGTTGATGGCTATTTATTTTTGATCCGACCCATCTCACTGATTACATGATTTTTTTCTTTGAACCAAAGGCTGCTTCACAGGTTGAAGAATCATTAATCCGTCACGGGCTGCCCGCGAGCTAACACGCGGGTTAATACAAATTCCACTAGTGAAACATTTAGTTAGAAACCGTTAGTTTTTTTTCCACATCTTCGCTTTTGAATTGCTTGTGAAACTAAGATTTCCATAATTAGAATAATTATTATCTTTCATCTATAGACATATACATAAATATTACGAAATTTCAATTAAGCGTCAAGAAAAAAAATAGTAAAATAAAAGTAATAGTATATGTTCACATATAAAATATTAATATAGCAGGTACAACTTCGACTAGGATGAAAATGACGACACATGAGCAAAAATCGAAAAAATAACTAGATGAAGCATGTTTTATTCTCTGATTTCTTACATTAAACGAACCAATACCGTATTTTTCGATAAACTTGTTTTTGTATGGATGTGAGTGAGGATTTGTAGTTCGATGTAACTAAGAGATGATCCACACTCGAAGCGTATTTATCTATGTACATGCTTCGAAACAAGTATGTGAATGACTAGAGCGAAGATATATAGTGTGAGCAAATAATAGAAACAAGCTAGGTTGTGAAAAATGAAAGATACAGTTAGTAGGGCTATTGCTTTATTTTTACTTTATAAGATAAATAAAAATGAAATCTTTATATTCATAACATAAAGATAAAGAAACTCCTTATTATTTATAAAACAAATATAAATGAATTTTTCATTTTCAAAAATAAAGAATAAAGAAAGATGTTGAGCGAAAGGTAAATGAAGAACTGCCTAGTATAACAGTAGGAAATGTTAATCAATATTCTTTCTTCTCACTGTCACTTCCCATGTTGTATATTTTTTCACAGTACCGCTGGTATATCGCGGTACTCGTGAGAACCACTGGTATACCGACGGTTTACCGGCGGTACCGCTTACTACTTTCGGTTCCAGCTATTAATTGCTCTAGAGAGTATTTTGTACTCAAATCCGAGTTAATTATGAGAAATAATTCAAAATTGTAGAGAAAAAATTTATTTCATAATTTATTTCACTAATTAATTATTTTGCAGCGTCCTCTATAATAAAAAATTTATCACAGCACTATGGCCGATTTGGACTCTGTGGCTAGTACAGGCGGCTCAGGCGCATCAACATTATCGGAGAGCGCCGGACTTTACTCAATTCTGTCAGTTTTAACAGACTTAAAAAATATTAAGTCGTTTTGATACATTATTTTATAATACACCACTTGCAACAAAAACCGCCGGTATACCGCCCATTATACCTAAGGGTCTACCGCTGGTTTTTGTCCGGTTCGAATTACATTGGTTTCATTTTGTGATATTATTAAAAAGTTGTTAGTGCAATCCCTGCAGGATTCAAATGTGAAACACAATCAGGGTTGCCACCTCTTTTTCGCTTTTCTTCTCCTGTTACGCATTTTCCCACTTTTTCATATGTGAAACTTTGGTTTAGTTTTATTGAAAAATTTGAGATGATAACATTTGTCGGCACTAAGTTGTGTTAGCTGTTGCCTGCATTGTACTATTGCCTATATGATTCATCATGTGTTTTATTTTGGTAGACAACACCAATGGCGAAAGTTATATTTTTTTAAAATGAGGCATTTTTCTAATGATTTTCGGAATTGAATATTAGTAGATGTAACAGCTGCAAAATACAAATTCGATAGAATGCTTTATAGTCTCATGAACATCTATTGTCTAAAAAAGAATTTCTAACTGACAACTATTCAAATAGCCAATACAACTACATTCAAAAAAAGTAACGTGCTTTATACGATATCCATTTTTTATATGTTATTTATTATTTTTTGAAACTTTGAGAATAAAGAAATGCTATGGAAAGAAGCAACAGTTTGTTTAAGCCATAAAAACTTTAACAGTCTACGAAAAACAGGCTTCCGCTTTTTTCCGTTTTTTCTAAGTGACCATTCCACTTTTCTGGCTTCAGGAGTTGGCAACTCTGAATACGATGAAGCTGCTTGCATTGTAAATCAGAGAATTAATCACTGTATACCGTATATGCATGTCGGTGACGAAAGATATTAATCCTAATATATTGCAGCGAGCATAGTAGAAAAATAAAGGATAACTGCGACACTGATCTCGCTGTTATGTCTGTGATCATCTGCAACTGTGGAAAGGTGTTGCTAAGGTGTCTGTGATGATTCGTTCCTATAATATCTGTCACGTCCGTGGGAGGGAGGGTCCAAACTTCTACCCCTACACACTTCAACACTCCTTTTACATTGTGTTTCACAAAATCATTACCATTGAAAAAAAATCACGTTTTTTGACAGTACTTCTAGTATTTTGCTTATGATGAGCGCTAGAAACAAAGTGTTTGAAAGAAAATAAAAACACGTATCTTGATTTGATCTTAGTTATCTTAAAAAGAATTGGATCCAGAAAGAAATGAAGTATAGAATTTTGCACAAGGAAAAACCTTTCTTTTTTGTATTTTGTCCCACACCAAAAATTTTCTTAGGCAAAGAAAATACGAACTTCGTGCCTCAATGACAAAAACTTGGAACTTTTGATAAAACTTAAGCTTTTCTTTTGCAATCAAGAAAAAGAAAATGGTTTGATTTGTTTTGTTTTAATAGATATTTTCTGTTATCCTGGATGATATACTACTGATCATTTATTGATATATATTCCTGGTCTAGTTCATTTTTTTTGCTTCGAGAATGCTTATTCTTTCTGTGGTAAATTCGATATCATGTCCGACATAATAATTTACAATTTTTTTCAAAGTCTCTATTGAAAGAGAAAAACAAAGCCATTTCTATAGATGTCGCTTCATTTCTTTCTCGAAAAATTACCTATCAAAAGTTCAAGAAAAAAATGAATAATTCATTAAAATATAAAAATCAAATTTTTTAAATAATTTTATTGGTAAAAATCATTGAAAAAAAAAACACATCTGATACATCCATACATGACAATACTATAATGTTAGTTTAGTTAATAATCAACTATTTTTAGGCTTATAGATCATGACAGGCTTTTCCAAAGTAGCTGTCTATCGACAAGATATGCCACCGAGAGGTGGTTATTCTCCAATACCATGGGCACGAATACCATCACGCCGTATTCCATTATGGCCATTTGTTTCTGCATGGTTAGCATCAAATATATTTGGATATTTTTATCATATATCTGAAAAACGTGAATATTGGCGAAGTGGTAAATAAATAATTTTTCGATTTATTTTTGTATCCAAATAAATAAAAATTTTTATTCTTTTTTTTGTTTAGAAATGGAAATGGATGAAAGTCGTTCATGTATAGAACCAGTTTTATTAGCTGAACAAGATCGTATTGTATTAAGACAATATCGAGCTAATCGTGATGAAGAAACAAAACTTATGAGTGATGTACCTGGTTGGGAAGTTGGTACATGGTTTGGTGAAAAAGTTTTTAAATCTCGTACCTTTTTTCCTGATCGACCACATGTACTTGATTATTATGCACTTGCACGTCCATCAACACAACGTTTAGATGTTAATGCAAGTCAATGGCAAGTTTAAGAAAAAACAACATAGAACAATAAATATTAGTTTCCATTTATCCTTCAATTTCTTTTGTTTTCTTTTTTTCTTTGCACCCTTGTAGAATAAAATCAGATTGAAGTTTGTGTTCTTTTTCAGATAAAATAATTCAGTGGGAAAAATAATATATATTTTAATTCAAGAATAAAAAGAAAAACTTTTTACGAACAGGTAAATGATTTAATTACGTTTTTGTATTATTTTTTTTTTAAGATAGATCAGAATTCGAATTTTAGCTTTATTTCATTTAAAAGCTACTAAGATGGCATATCTTTTGTATGTTTTTTGAGAATTGAAATATGATGTTGAGAGAACGGTCTTTTTATAGGTGCTTTTACACTCTAAAAATTAACACTTTAGTCAATCGTGATGTTCTTTATGCAATCTATTTTAATAGAAGAAGACAAAACTCTTTTTTTTTGTGACCTGTGAGATTGCTTTTTTTTCTGTACTAGATGACTCGTGAATGTTTTTCTTTTGGTCTATTTATTAAGCAGTACACATGTAAGAGTGATCATAAAATAAATCAGTAGAATTTGTCTTAACATGAAATAAAACTTGATCGTAAGGTGACATTGAAAACTAGCAGATGGTACTTATCCCAAGTATCAGTATCGAAAATTCAATCATTCTCAATGCTATATTATACTTTTGTCTATAATCTTTAATTTATATTTACAGAAACAACAAATAAATGAATAAGAAAATATTGTCTTTTTCTTTTATATTCTAGATTATATTNCGTAAACCACTTAATGAAAAATCTTTACTTAATGACCAAAGAAAATGTGTACGTTTTGGATCAATTATTGATTTATAATTTAATATTGATTGAAATGGTTTTTGATTTTCAAATATACTTAATGCATAAATTTCATCTATAATAACATGTAATTTTTTTTGAGCTGCAAATTCTAAAATAGGTTGAATTGTTTGTTCATCATATATATCTCCAATAGGATTATTTGGATTAAGAATAATAATTCCACGTGGCTGAAGACCTTGATTTATTGCTTCTTCATAACCACGTTTATAAATTTCAACTGAAAATATAAATTTTCCACTGTCTTGTTCAAGTAATGGACATCGAAATATAGCACAATTTGAGAAAGCTGCTATGTCATGATCAAATGCAGTATAATAAGGTGATGATATGAGAAAAACATCATCCATATCGCCTATAAGATAACCTAACAGTGAAATAATACCAGTTAATCCACTTGAAATCATCATTCGATCTGGATCGAGTTCATAATTAAGTTGAAAAGTTCTTTGAAAAAAATTACATAAAGTTTGTCGTAATGATTTTTGACCTGATGGATATGGATAATACATATAATTTGTTTTCCATATTTGAATTGATTGAAGTTTTGAAATTAATTCATTTTCACATAAATAATTTTCTGCAACACCACAGTTACATACTCCATTAGGATTTAATTCATCATCATAAGGATTTTTTTGAATAACTAAAAACTTTTTCAATAACTGTGTCATATCTTTATTTCTTTGTTGAACACGAATCGACAGTGTATCCATGATTTGAAATGATAAAATAAAAATACGTTTTTTTTTTTTTCTAAAATAATAATCATTTCTTTCGTTTTCATAACAAACATAAATAGTAAAAAAGTTTCTAAAACATATCTTGTTGTAGACACTACTGGATCATTTTAATTTTATCTACTTTCGAAAATGATTGAAATTTAAATTAAAAATTCGTATTATAAAGTGGAAAGTTAAAAAAAAAAACAGATTTCTGTCGACGAAAAAGAAGACATTGTACAAAATGTCTCGAACGAAGCAATTACAAAAACGAAATTGAATCAATAAAATAAAGTGGCATGGAATACAATAGAATACAAAAGATTAAAACCCAATTAAAATAGAAGAAAAAATGCGAACATTAGAATGCCTTTGCACATTGTGCATAGTATCGAATTTATCCTCACGAAGAAAAATGGCAATCAGTGTTTTGTATTGATAGTCATATTGATGCCTACTTATCAGTCAGACAACTAACGAAAAAGAAGACAGTTTTATCAGCGAAAATTGCATAGTTTGATGTGTTAAAAAATATCTCTGGAAAAAAGTGATTTGATGAAGATCAATGTTTTTAAATTTGTTTTTATTCAAATTTTTTTAGCACACCAACAACATAAGGCATTTTTTACAACTTAATATGTTGACTTTTTTTTTCTCACATGTCTAACTGGATTCTTTTTTCTTTCACAATAGTTATTTTGATGAGGTAATAAATGTATACTGTACTTTACCATGACACAAGACAATGCTATACTATTAGAATTAAAACTACAGCATATTCTCTCATTAGAGTAGAGATGTGTAGGGTAAACTTTTTTTCTTACTCTCACTCTAGCCCACCATGCTGGGCTACATTTTTTTATATTGAATTTCGAGTATGAACAATAGAAAAAAAATTATCTTGATGTTAATTTGAAAGTTTTTAAAAAAACAAAAACTTTATTGTTCATGAAACATGTTTAGGTCATTGTATAGTGCCGTACAATGTGAAATAATAAGTCATTTATTTTGTTCTCTTAAAAATGAAGTGTTTGCGTAATGTTTCAATTTTAATAACAGACGAATATAAGTTTTAGTCAATTAATATATGTTAAATCAAATGGCGTGATCGATCATAAAAAGACGCAATGTAAATGGTTGTGATATGTTTATTAAAATATTCTTCAATAGATGATTTCATAAAACGTCGAACTCTAATTCGATCATTTGAAAAAGATATATTTAGTTTTTAAATTATTGAAATTGCCAAAGATATATCTACATATGTGTTTTTAATATCAATTTGTAAAATGATATATCGAAATCAATCATTTACTCAAAAAGATTAGTAATCAAAACTTTTAAAGAATATGCAATGTAAAAATATAATTATCTTATCTAAGATAAAAAAAAGTGGCGATCAATATCAGCCTCTTGAAAATACTTGTGTATATTTTCTTCTTCAAAGAAAAAAAATTGAATACAAAAAAAAAAGCACGTTTCACTATTCTGATTTCCTTGTAATATAAATGAACTAGAAATACCATTTTATTAGTGATTAGATCTTAAAGATAAAATATATATTCGCCATCGTCTGCACACAAATTTTGTCTCACAATATGAAATTAATTAAATCAAATTAGTCTTATTTATGTACAAATGAAGAAAATATCTATCAGGTATCCCAGAAATAATCTATCAAAAAAGTAATGCAATATATCCACTATTATTGGCACACTTGAAATCTTGCACTATTTACTTCAATCCAGAAGTTGACATTTCTTTTCTGATACTTCTATTAGTAGTCAACCATAAGCAACGCAGAGATCTGAAGATTTTCAATCTCATATATGTGATGCTCTTGAGCTTTTTCCGCAGGCCATGTCGATAAAAACCTTTTCATGTTCTCATCTAAAATTGACTGTGCTAAAGCAAAATGTTGGAAAAGTGAAAGTGCTCTAGGAGTCGAGAGCAATTTTATGTATTTGAGTATTTTGAGTCCAGTATCGCCATTTATTGATGAAAATCGAAAATTTCTTTTACTGATATAATTAGCGTAAAAAACTTTACAAACTTGTATAAATCTCAAAGTTTTTGGATATCTTTGGGTCTTTGTAACTGGCTACTCATGCAAATACTATACCAAAAAGTTAGCTGTAGTTGTATGGACTTCTTGGGGACATAGTCTGTATAAGACTATCAGAAAGGATCTTGTGAAGTCTGATAGACCAGCAAAAGCTCAAAGATTGCAAATAAATTATCTTAAAAATTGAGAAAACTGAAGAACGTGAGAATTTAAATAACATTAAGGAAGGCTAAAATGTACCATTTATATTTTGCCAGAAAGTGAGTCTTATCATCGCCTATATCCACACCCTCTCGAAAGAGAATCGTTTGTCTTCTTCGATGATGAAATATTTGCTTTTCTTGCTAGTAAATTTTTCTGCATGTAACTTAAAAACATTTAAGTTTGTTTTTGTTAGGAACTTTTCTTTCTGTTCTAATTTATTTAGCAAAGAACCCATTTTTTTTAATAATGACATATGATTTTCTATATGATTTTCTAAATCTATCAAGAAAAAATGCTTCCAAAAAAAAACGAATACATTTAATATAAACTTCGTTTTCTGATGATTTTCAGGCTGGAAACTGTTACAAAATAAATTCTATTTTGCTTCTGAACTAGTTTGCATTCATGAAATTCAACTGATGATAACACAGAAATTGTCCAAAATACGCATTACATTCGTATAGCCTTCTTTTGGATAAATGTTAGTATAGTTGATATTCAGTGTTCCAATTAGGATGCTATCAATGGAGTTGTAGATGATGAACTACTAATCTATGCGTTATCAAGACGCATCATAATTTCAATTTAACCACATTTTTGTATTTTTTGTTGTGTTTAGGTAACTGAGCAGTGCAAGTTTCCATTATGTGTGCATCAAAATGATCACAATTATATGTCAATTTAGTTTTTCGAGTTATATCATAGCCTTGAAATGAATTGACATAAAGTGATATAATATTTCTTTAAAATCATATTGTTCACTGTACAGACGAGTGCGTCTGATGGATCGCTTTGTGCAGCAGATGAGATATGATACGATCAATTTGGTTGCCCATCGTAGTGGTATCAAAAAAATAATAGAATAATTTTCATTCTATAATGAAAAGTAACTGTGTCATTGTTTGAGTGATTTCCTAATTGTATAAGAGAAACACAATGCTAATACGTAGCCAGAGATCCTGGCCACACTTCTTTTGACGGTATAGACACGTTATTCAGAAGCAATGACAAATGGCATAACTCGGAGTCATTTTTCATGATTGTTGATTCATCCAAGACAAAACCTTCACTAGTGCTAGCATTACGTTGACTCCCAAGACGTAAAAGTTTCAACATGTAACCATCAATAAAAGCTGTTGAAACCGAACAATAGATTAGACCGAGCTAAACATTTTGAACGGTTTTTACGCCAAGAAATCGGTACTAGCTGGTCGCGAGTGGTGTACGAGATAAGGGATAAAGTCGCACTAAATAGTATGGGCTCGGTATATTCTGCAGTACTTACAAAACAAATCGTACAATTTCTCAAAGAATCTGTTTCTTTTCTAGTAGAAGTGTCACTTGCTCGTTGTAACTCTTTTATGAATGAAAATGAGAATTCAACCTGTTATTAATCTGCATTTATCTCATGTATTCGAATTTCAGCTGAAAAATAGCAAAACGTAGTACAATGTTAATTAAGAAAACTAAGAGCTATTAAAAAGTTTTTGAGCGTGTCCATCATATGCTTGAGACAAGTTGCGAATCCAATTGTTTAATTCTTCTCCTTGTTCATTCCATATTTCGTTTGTAAGTACTGGATCAAGCATACGACAATATGCGTAACGACCGAAAATAATGTAGTCCACTTGACCCGGATGTGTACCTTGAAAGTATTGATTTGGACGCTCGCGTAAGACTTCCACGAGAGGCTGTACATTCATTTTGGCACGTCGTATCAGTTCTTGTCTATCAAGTGCAAGCATTTTCTGATATCCTTGTGGACCGAGTCGTAAGTCAGACGTAAAGTAGGCTCGAAGTTCTTCGCCAATGATCTGTTGATCGAGTTGAGGAAAGAACAGATCGTACCAGACAGCCCATTCAGATTTCGAGGCGCCAAGACCCAAGTCAATCAGACGAGCGTAAGTTTTACCTGTGGCTACATGATCAGGTCGAGCATCACGTGATGGTTTACCATCACCAGTGAAAAGAGACGGAGCATCAGGATAGCTATCTTCTAGCCACTCAGCAATACGAAATGAATCATAGATGAATCGTCCATCGGGTAGCTCCAGTGCTGGTAAAGTAATATTAGGCTCATGTGAACGATTGGCAAGTTCACCTCTTAAGTCCAGAAAGTTAATAGGAATCGTCTCGAACTCGACATTTTTGTGCAATAAACCCAGGCGAGTCTTCCACGTAGTCGGCGAATAATACCGAGTTGAAGTGGGTGATGGAGCGAGATCGTACAATTTGATGATTTTACTCATTCTTATAACTAATACCAGCGTTAAGCACACGTAGTTTACCCGATGCTTATCTTATCTAAATAACACATGCTATAAAGAATCAAGACAAACAGGTATCGTGAGAACGATAACAGCTTGTTGGTTATTCATCGTAGTTTCACTTTGGTTTCTTCGATTTGTCTTCACGTCAAAATGATGGATTTCTTAATAGTTTGCACGATTTAGACAAACTATCGCATGAGCAATTTGATGAGATAGTTTTCACTTTCTCATCTTCCTCATTAAACATTAGACTACTACTCTCTTGATCTGTTCAAACATATTTTGAATATAGTATACTTCGAGCTTACATCATACGTTTTTGTTTTGAATGTGAAGTGAATGTTCAAAGATAGAAAATAATAACAATGTTCCTGATCCCATAAACATCATAGTCAAGGTCTAAAGAGTCTGCTAGGAAACGTTCTGAATACATTTCTTTGTTTCTCTTGATTTCA